CAGCCAGCAAGGCTGGCTGGGGAATTCTGGGAGTTGAAGTCCACCCATCTGAAAGTTGCCACGCTTGAGAAACGAACTGAATGCCTTGAAGGCGGTTGGGGGGCATTTGTGGTCCGGGGAAAGGTTCTCGCCCTCCCAGGGCTGGATGGAGAGGGGTGGAGGGCTCAATGGTAGAGAAAATCCTGCATGTGGACGGGGAGATCCCTTTTGCCCGTTCTTTAAAACACTTTTAACCTGCATTTACTGTATGAAAATCGCACTCAGCTGGAGGCACGCCTTCAGCAATGGCACGAAGACAGGGAGGAAGCAAAAGCACAGAAGGGCGCACGCTCCATAGTCAACAGGCTCCTTTTTTGCCCCAACCATGCTCTGAAAAGTCTTGGCAGGAGCGTCGGGGTTGAATTCTGCAGCCGGGGGCATTTCAGGACTGGCATCTTTGGGCTTCGGGCTGTGGAGGATGGGAGGTGCCCTTCTTGCGGGCAGTACCTCTGAGTCCGTGGTGGGCTTAACAGAGACAGGATGGCTGTCACGGAGCAGAGCAACAGGGACCGCCCCCCCCCCCGTTTCTTGCCAGTTTTAAAATCATGGTTTAATTGTGGCATAACTGCTTTGATTGTTTTTATATTATCTTGTCTACATTATATTATCCAAATGTGATATAGCAGAAATAATGATCCTTGTCGCTATATTCGAAGCCCGAAGCAGGATGCAAAGGCAGCAGTTGTCTCCCCGCCCGCCCCACTCCGAGGCTTTATTCCCAGCAACTTTATTCCCAGCGACTTCTTAACTAAATTAATGTGGATATTAATGTTTTAAACTGTTTTCGGGTTTTATTTTAATTGTGAGCCGCCCAGAGTCACCCTCTGGGGGAGATGGGTGGCATGTAAATTTAATAAATAAATAAAATAAATCAGCAAAGTGTTGCTTCCAGGTAGAGTGCTCCAAGACAAAGGGGCCCGACTGATTCCCTCTGGCACGTGAGCAAAAGAAGGCAGTGCCACTGACTCCTCCTGGCTCAGGGCTTCTAGCAAGGCTGGGTCTGGAAAACTGCAGTCCCTCCTTGCTGAGCACTGCTTGCTCTTGGGGTGCATTCGCCAGAAGGGCCGCTCACCGGCCTCTCTTTTCGAGCGCTCACCTTGTTTCTCTTTGACTTTCAGGATGGGAAGGATTTTGGAATTGGGGAGCTCGTCTGGGGCAAGATCAAAGGCTTCTGCTGGTGGCCTGCCATCGTCGTGTCGTGGAAGGTGACCTCCAACCGCCAGGCGGCTCCTGGCATGCGCTGGGTCAAATGGTTTGGGGACGGAAAGTTTTCCGAGGTGAGGGCACGGGAGGATCGGCGGGCTGGCTGATGGCCCCCGTGGCCCCTTTGGGTCAGTCAAAGCTGCAGTGGGCCTGAGGGCGGGTGGATTGGCCTGTTCTTTGGAAGGGGGCCTGTCCTTGGCATGGAAAGGCGAGGCAAAGAAGCCCCAAGGGAGGCCTCGACTTGGGCACGGTCCAACACTTCACCTGCCCGTGCCCCAAGGGGAGCTGTGCAAGAACTGTATTTCTCCGCCTCTCTTGTGACAGAAATTGCGAAGCTGAGCTGCAAATGTTTGCAGACAAAACCTCCTTTTTGCAGCTTTCAAACAATAAGGCTTGCATCTGCCGATTTTGGGAAGAATGATGGCAAAAATCTGGTTGCTAAATGCAGGTAGTCCTTGCTTAACAACCATTTGTTTAGTGACCATTCAAAGTTACAATGGTGCTAAAAAGTGACAACTGGTGCTTGAAGTCCCAGCACCCCTGCACTCACGTGATCATGATCCGGGCACTTGGCAACCAGCTTGCACTTACGACAGTTGCAGTGTCCTGGGTCATGTGATCGCCATTTGCGACCTTCCCAGCCGGCTTCTGGCAAGCAAAATCAGTGGGGAACTGTGTGATTTGCCTAACAACTGCCGTAAAAAAGGTCGTAAAATTGGGTCTGATTCGCGTAAGAACTGCCCTGCTTAACAACCAATTTTCCAGTCCTATTGTGGTCGTTAAGCGAGAACTACCTGTCATTATAATAGTCGTGGTGGCAGATGTTGTGGATGATGATAATGATGATGATAAGAAATTATATTTAGACAACATTTTACAATATTCTGATTCTCTACAAACCAGTACTCCCCAGGCAATGTAGTCATGCGAGTTGTAGCAGCACATCTGGAGGTCCACCAGCTCAAGAAACACTGCCTTATGCTAACCCCGAAACTAGGTTAATTGCAAGCATATTAGAACTGGGCTGGACTATCTGAGGCTTGCCAGAGACTCTTGCTCCTGTTAACCGATCTCAGAAGCTCAAGGGGCATTCACAAGGAGCTCCCTAGCCAGGAGGAGGTCACTCTGACGGTGCCTCTGGGTCTCCGTGGAGGGGTGCCGCTGTGCATCAGATCGATCCCGGATTGGGGGAGTTGAGGATGCTGCCATTTGGGAGGCTCTTCTGGGATGGCCGGGGGAAGGAGAGGAAGATCTGAGAGGCTTTGTTGAGCACATGTCTCCTTGCTGCAGATCTCCGCAGATAAACTGGTGGGGTTGACGGCGTTCCAGGAGCATTTCAACCGCGCCACGTTTCAGAAGATGGTGTCTTACCGACAAGCGATTCTTCATGTTCTGGAGGTAAAAAGGGTGTGTGTGTGTGGGGGGCAATGTGGCTTAGCAGGGAAGACAGTGGCTTAGCATGTGGAAGACTGGGTCGCTGTCTACTGGAGGGCCAGTACGCTAGCTGTAAGCCAGTTTTCACCAGCTCGACATCTTCCAGAGATCTGGAGGACGCCAGATTGTGGACGGCTGCTGTAAAGTAGCCCTTGACTGCAACTGCCCCAAGTGGCCGTTCCCCATAGCAGAATGGCCCATTCCTTCATCTTATGCATTTATATATCTTTTGCTGAATGTGTACGCTCCTAATCCAAACCACTTCTGGTGGGCTACAAAGCAACACTTCAAACACCCACCCGTGGTGCAGCAGCACCTTCCAAAGCAGAGCCTGGGAGCCTTCCCAGCGTGGGATTCAGGCAGATGTTAGATGGCACTGAGAGAGGGTGGCTCCTGAGCCCTTCGTCAGCCTCTCTCCGCCAGCCCCAGCCCCAGCCCCAGCCCCACTGTGACCAACCTTCTTGTGGTGGCAGGTTGCGAGCAGCCGAGCTGGCAAGACGTTTCCCAGTGCTGTTGGGGACTCTCTGGAGGACAAGCTGAAGCCCATGGTGGACTGGGCCATCCGGGGATTCAAGCCTACTGGAGAGAAGGGGTTAAGGCCCCCCAAGACTTCGGGTAAGACCCCTGGGCTTCACCAGCAAGGGGCGGTGGGGTTGATGGGTGCGACCGCGCAGGGCTGTTGGAGAGCTGCTCTTCGTCAAAGCGCCCTTCGTCGGCTCCACTGGGTTTGGGCTGGTTGCCATTCCCCGGCTGGGTCCCCCAAGCCCCTTTGCTTTAGCTGGAGGCCACTGGGAATCGGTTCCAGGCGATAGAAGAGCCTCAGGGGAAAAACCGAGTCTTTCTTCCAAAGCCTGTGTCCCAAATGAATCAGTTAGCTGGGCAACGATCAGCACGATACCCAGGTGCTGCGGTCGTAAAACCCTCCCAATTTAAAAGCCGTGCGAACCAAATCGTACAGACCTTTTTCCCAGGGTGTCCCCTCCGTACACATAAAGTTGGGAAAATGAGAAATGAAATACTAATTCCAATGTCTGATTTTTGATTGACACCTAAAAGGGTTGAGAAAAGTGTTCAGATATCACATAGAAGGAAACGACCGTATATACTCGTGCATAAGCCGAGAATTTTAGGTGCCAAAATACACCCCAAAAATTGGGTTTGGCTTGTCTGGCTGGGGAACTCTGGGAGCTGAAGTCCCCTCATCTTAAAGTCGCTGAGGTTGAGAAATGCTGGTGTAGAGGGCCAGAATAGATGATCTTTGGGATCCCTTCCAACTTGACAGTTCTGTGATTCTAAGCATGGGGTGATTTGTAGGACTAAGGCATTGTTTTTCTCAGGTGCTGGAAATGGGGGAAGCAAGTGGGGGGCGGGTTGTAAAGCAGCTGGGTGGAGCGTTTGCCAGGAAGAACAGGAGGCGCCCTCAGAGGGAATTTACTGCCCAAGCGAGAAATGAAGGGCTGAGCTTTGCAACGTGTGGGGCACAAAACGGTGCCCTCTCCAGCACCATCAGTTTAGGCACCAGCACGGGGGGTGTGGGTCTGTGTCACTTGCTGGTGGTAGGGACCTGCTCACGGAGGGTTTGGGGTAGGTGTGTCTGCAGGGGGAAGGGGTCAAAAGAGTCAAGATGGTGTCTGCAACAAGGCCATTTAAGCCCTGACCCTTTTTCTTTTACTTGCAGACACCCTTCCAGGGGCATTAGCTTGCAAATAAAACGTTCGTTGCACAAAACTGAGCTTTCTAGGGATCCGATGGAGACTTTGACTTTGTTGTTGGTGGGTTGAGCTAGTCTGCCTTGCTCATGGCATCGGTCCATGTCGCAAATCGGGTGGGTCCCGTGCCAGCGATTCCTCGTTTCCGTTGTCCCCTTTGGGGAAATTGCCTGGTCTCCCCTGCTGACCTCCGCTGCCTTTCTTTTTTCTTGCAGAGGTTAAAACCTTCCCCACCATCATCATGGAGGATCCCGCCCCCCCCGAACCTGCCCCCCCGCCCAAGCGCCTTAAGACCAATGGCTGCAGTGGCGGCAGCAGCAAGGAGTCGGTGGAGGAGAACCAAACCAGAGGTGGGTGGGTCTGTGCCCCAGGGACGGGGCGGGGGGCCGAGAAGGAAAGCATCTTTGGGATCCTGCGGGGGAAGATCCAGCCGTTGTGCCTGGCGGCAGCGGGGACTCTCTTTAAAGCTGCCCTCTGGGGAGAGAACCCTCTTCTTGCGTGTCTCGATCGATAGCTTATGAAACGCTCATTCGTGCTTGGTGACCCTTTTCCAGAACGGATGGTTTCCGAAGCCAAAAATAACAAGAAGAGCTTGGAAGGTAAGGAGCCCGTTTGGCCTCCAAAATGTATTGGGCGGGGGCGGTGGCGAGGGTGGGGGCGGGACCACCTTTGCATACGCTCCGTTCCTGGAGGGGAGGCGGAGCAGAGATTTGCCCATGTGCCCAAGTCACGGTCCAGCTGCTGACTTGGCTCTCAGGGACGCTGAGCCTTGAGTCTTCTGCCCCCCTTTCAGAAGGTGGACATGGACCCAACCAGTTCCTCCACTGGCCTCTGCTGCTCAGAAGGATGAATCACTCCCATGCTTTGATACTGGGCAGCGTTTAGACCCGTGTTTTTCAAACTTGGCCCCTTTAAGATGTGTGGACTTCAACTCCCAGAATTCCTGGCTGGGGAATTCTGGGAGTTGAAGTCCACACATCTTAAAGGGGCCGAGTTTGAAAAACACGGGTCTGGGCAGTCACCCTCACTTCTGGGTCCATTGGGTTTTGGGGAGAAGGAAAAGCTCTGATGGGAAAAGGGGGTGAAGTGTAGCTGTGCCTAAGGGCCTGGAGACCCTAACCCTCCAAAAGGAGTTAATCTCTTTCACTGGCTGGCTGCTTGAAATTGGCCAGTGTCAGTGGCCTGGTGGATTCCGGGAACTGAAGCCCAGCACACCTGGAGGTTAGCTAGCTTGGGAAGGCTGGCTATAGAGCGGCTCACGTGGGGCCTCTCCTGAACTCTTTGAACAGACAGCTGCCTGTCCTGTGGGAAGAAGAATCCGGTCACTTTCCACCCGCTGTTTGAAGGGGGACTCTGCAGGACCTGTCAGGTGAGTGGGCACAGGAGCGCACGAGGCTGTGCTTTGGCCTGGCATCAGGATATCCCTTCGCTTGGCCAAGGCAGGGCTGGCTGGCGTAGGGCACCGTTCACCCTCTGCAGCTCGCCTCAGTAGGGCGATGCTTCTTCAGCAGGGGAACCCGGGAAAACCGGGGATCGTTTTCTAAGATTTCTGCTTTCAGAAGCTCAAGAACTGGCATCTTGGCAGTTTTTTTTGCTATTTCAATTACTAGAGCTGCCCACCTCAGACATGTGCCTCTGGATGACTCACGGCAATTACATTTGCTGTCCTGTTGCACACAGGCACCTCTCTTTGGGCTTCAATTTGCATGACTCGGGGGCAAAAGAAACATGCTCCAGGTGGGGAAATTCTGCAGCTCTTCTGGGCTGCTGAGGCACGTGTGGAAGTGTTCACACAGGCCTTTGAGTCACGTGCTGCAGCCACCTTTGACGTAGAGTGGAGAGGGACCCCAGGGAGATGGAGAAAGCTGCATCAGCATTCACCCTCCTCCTAGAGCAGTGTTTCTCAACCTCAGTAACTTTAAGACGAGTGGACTTCAACTCCCAGAAGTCCACACGTCTTAAAGTTACTGAGGTTGAGAAGCACTGTCCTGCAGGGAGCCTCCTAGGACAGATCTGGCAAATTCAGTTCCAAACTAGACGTAGAACTAGACTGAAATGGGCCCCTCAAGATCACCTCCAGGCGAAACTGAAGTTGGACTTCTCAGATGGGTTCAACCAACTTGTCCTCCGAGACGTGCCACTAATTCCCTGCACATATATTACAGCAGTTTTCAAAGACACCCTTCTTCGAAGAGAAGGACCGTTCAGTGTCTTTGATCTGCCATTGACACAGTGACTACAATTCCTGAAGTTCATTCACGGAAAGTTTTGATCTTTCCACAGCAGAATCTGGGCAGAGCAGCTCTAAGTTTGGCCAGCGGAGATATATGGGACAGCGGAGCAGGAAAAGACAGTTGCTTATATCTGTCCACCATGTGTCTCCCCTGATTTGTCTCTCTTCAGTTGTGTTCAGATTATGGGATTCCTTACCTACATGTCTATGGGCAATGCTGGCTAGAAATTCTGAGCTCTGTATTCTTAGCACCTCTGGAAAGCTGGCCAGCAATGGGGGAATGTTCTAAGCAGATCATGCGGTCTGTTGAAAATGCTGGCCTCTTACAGCTGCCATCATCTCCCCACCGCTAGCATACCCATGTTATCTGGGAGCAAGGCACCTGCCTTCTGAATGCACCCGAAGGGCCTTTGGTTAGGGAAGGCTGGTCTGCAGTGCCACATTTAAAGCTGTGCAGAAAATGCCACCCTTCCTCTTGTCACAGGTGGCCTGTTTTTCTTGTAGGACCGGTTTCTGGAGCTTTTCTACATGTATGATGAAGATGGGTACCAGACTTACTGCACCATCTGCTGTGAAGGAAGCGAGTTACTCCTCTGTGACAATGCCAGTTGCTTCAGGTGGGCAAATCTGCCACTGGGCGCTACCCACTAATATTGATAGACAGACAGACAGATAGACAGATAGATAGTCTTCGCTTCTTGCAGTTAGCCTGGAAGCAGCTAATCCAAAGGAACAAGAATCTAAGAGCTCTGATGAATACTATTTATCAGAAGGAAGATTAAGATTTCAGGACAAGAATTCCAGCAAGTACCTTGCTATCAAGGGAGACAGCTTCATATAGGCAATGGAAGGTAGCAAACTTTTTCTTTCTTCCTGCTCTTTTGACCGAGGATGAAGCAGACTTGCCTCTTTTGTAAAGGCAGAACTGTCTGAATCTGAATCTGTTGATTGGTTTGGTCAGTGCAGGAAGTAACCCATAACACTTTTTTCCTTTTAAGGCATTCACTGAAGCCCTTCAATCTCCCCCCACCCTCCACCCCCGGGAGACTTTCCAGGTGTGACCCTCAGTATCTCACCATAAGACCCCCCGCCATTGCCCATCAGGTGCTAGAAGTTGAGCCCCTCTGAGTTTCAAAAGACCTTCCGTGTAGGCATGACACCCATGTTGCCAGAGAGGGTTCCCAGGCTGGTAAAGATTCAGGAGTTTGGTTTGTAAATAGCCAGCTGTGTGCTTCTCCATTCTCAGTGAAGAGATCTCAGTAGATCACAGGAAGGCTTGTTAGAAGGAAAATCAAGAAGTCTCTGTGCCAATGTACATCAAGACGCACCTCAATGGGAAATAGCTCATTGCTGGAATTCGTGGGACCCCTTCCCTCTCATATCAATACATCTTGCTAAAGAGAACTCTGGGAGAAAAGAATGATTTCTGCCGAAGAGCCTGGCACTCTTTGTGACCTCATTGCGCAAATTACACAGTCCTGCAATTGGCACAGGGACATCACGGCTTGGGTGGCATCGAGGTGGCTTCTAATGGATGCCTCGGGCCCTCCGTGTTACCCCCGCACCCCAATTTCTCCTGTCTTTTACAGCTGCTTTTGTGTGGACTGTTTGAACACCTTGGTGGGGCGAGGTTCGGCTGAAGCTGCGCGGAAGGAAGAGCCCTGGAGCTGCTACATGTGCCAGCCACAACAGCGCTATGGAGTCCTGCTGCGACGGCACGACTGGAACACGCGCCTGAAGGGGTTTTTCACCAACGAGGACGGGCAGGAATATGTGAGCAGTGAGATGGAGAGACTTTAGGACAGTGTTCTCCAAACTTGGCCACTCTAAGATGAGTGGACTTCAACTC